TGACCAGTGCTAAGATAGGCTTGTCTTACGGCTATCTCATTCTGGAGATAATAGTAAAACTCGCAGCGATACTAAAAATACCCTAATGCTGTTATATATTTTTACTTACTATTTGTGTTCCCGCAGCGCCTCGGAGCCCCGTCAGGAAGCAGGACCTCGCTGTGCCGGGCGCTGCACAGACACAGAACAAAGAGAGGAGCTCTGCCCCAAGGAGCTGACAATCTGAGTATAAGACAAGAGACACCAGACGGAGGAGCACAAAGAAATACCACTGGCCAGCCTGAGGCACCAGCAGCCTCACCGTTACCAAGCTGATTGCCGGCATTGTGCCAAAGGAGACTTTGGAGTCAATCATTCGATGGCGCGGCCTCCTCTGGGCCCTGGCCACACTGGTGATCCCAGCTCTCCCAGGATACCGTAGCACTGGGAGGGGACAGAGGTGAACGAGGAGAATTACTGGAGACCTGAGGAATTCATTCAAGGCAGCGCAGGAACTGGGCTCGGGCTGCCCAAGACCTTCCGTTACAAGAGCGTGTTGTTGGTTGTTTATAACCTTGCCAGGCTTCCATGGTTTGGGCTGAAATTTTCCATGCCAGAGGATTGCTTCAGGTTGAATTTTACTGCGATGTTAAATCTAAAATGGACCAGCCATTTCCAAGAACACAATCTATTTTCCCAAAATCTTGTAGGAAATGGCTGAGCCGTTTGGAGCAGTGACTTGAAATGTGACGGGGAGGTGAGATAGTCGCCCAGGTCTCAGGGAGATGCCTTCAGATGCATCTGTGAAAATTTGCCCAAATTTGAGCAAGTTATCACTGAAAAAAATCTCAGTTTGCACATGCTCAGTAGAGACTTGGGAGTTTGGCAGCTAAAGTCTCTGACTATTCCATCTGATCGCAGTGCGCTCCAGCCCCCGACAGCGCCAACATGTGACCGGCCTGTGTATGCGCCATCCCCCAGAGAGACTGAGCCGTGGCTGAGTAGCACTTCTCCTGCAATTGCTCCTCCAAGCTGCACAAAGCCACTGTGGTGCTGGGCCCAGGAGCAGAACAGGGAGCCTGTCCCCTGTGCACTCAATGTCCCCACTGAGCCAGCAGCTCAGGGCGTGCAGAGACGAGCTGATGGAGATGCAGGAGGCTAGGAGCAGACGTGGGCTGGGAAGGGGGTAGGAGCAAGAAGGAGCCATGGGAGCAGAGAAGGGCGGACGTAGGCAGGAGCAGGGGACGGGGCAGGAGAGGGCGGAC